AGAAATAATAGCTTTAAAAAGATAGTTGTTTAAAGCAAAAATAATAATGCATTATAAGTTTTATAACATGGAAGTGAAAGGTATGACAATAGCACAAAGAATGAAAGGGGATGGGAAGGATATAAGGAACATTACTAAGGCTGGCTTTATTTATTTATTTTTTTGACAGAGTATCGCTTTGTTGCCCAGACTGAAGTGTGGTGGCACAATCCCTGCTCACTGCAACCTCTGCCTCCTGGGTTCAACAATTCTGCCTCAGCCTCCCAAGTAGCTAGGATTTCAGGTATGCACCACAACACCCAGCTAATTTTTGTATTTTTAGTGGAGGTGAAGTTTCACCATGTTAGCCAGGCTGGTCTTGAACTCCTGACCTCAGGTGATCAACCTGATTTTAGGTGATCTGCCTTCCTCAGCCTCCCAAAGTGCTGGGATTGCAGGCATGAGCTACCATGCCTGGCAAAAACCTAGTAAGGTTCTTAAGCTGTATATGAAGTGGAGTCATCAAATTTACATCTTGAAAATTAAAACAATCTATGGTCCCACTTCAAATGTATGGGAGTGCCAATTTAACTGTATACTTTTCCATGTGTGGTATTTGTTTAAAAACATTGCCACCCAGATGTTTTTAAAATTTTGATTACCGTAGACTCCCAGTCCTCACCGTGCTTGAGAGATACTTTATCTCTGAGATCTCTGAAATTCTATCAGAATCTCTTTACCTTAAATTTGGCTAAAACATAAAAAGTATACATTTATTTATTTTCTTTCCTACTCTTCCTACCCTTTCTTCGTAAGCAGGTTTTTTCAGTAATTTCTTTGGTTAATACTTCAGCTTCAGTTCTAGAATGTGGACATTTTGAAGACGCATTCCATGTCTCTCATTCTCTACTGAATCATGGCTGAAGTATACTAGATGCTCGATGCTCAATAAATTTGTCAAAAAAAAAAATACTGTTTTCTTTCTATACACAGTATTGGTAAGGTTGATCTGCATATTTCTAACATTTTTTTCTTTCATCTTGTTAATCTATTTTGTCTTTTTGATTTGAGTTGTAGGATAATTCATTTACTGATTTTATTGTGTTACTAATTTTTGTTTGGTTATATTGCATCTGCTATTTATTGCTTCTATAGCTGTTTTAAATTTGGCAAATCATGATTTTCATCTCTGACAATCTTTTTATCTCTGAAATCTTTCCTCAAATTATTCTGATTTCATTTTTACAGATGCAAAATTTACTCAAATTCTTTTAAAATATTAAGCATCTTGCATTTCATATTTTTCTTCAACTTATACCACATACTATGAGACTGTCAAGTTTTTAAATCTCTTTTTCAGCTCTAGGGCATTTAAACTTTAATATTAGTGTGTTTAAAACCCCTTAGGACTGGGAAATAAAAGAAAATGAAGTATCTATTTCTTCCTTCAATCCAGCCACCTCAACACATAATTAAAATGTGGCATTGGTGCTTGACACAGTGGCTCACACCTCTCATCCCAGCACTTTGGGAGGCTCAGACAGGCAGATCCTGGTATCCCAGAAGTTTGAGACCAGCCTGGGCAACATTGTGAAACTCCATTTCTACAAAAAATTAGCCACACATGGTGGCTTGTGCCTGTGGCCCCAACACTTGGGAGGCTGAGGTGGGAGGATTGTTTGAGCTCAGGAGGATGAGGTTGCAGTGAGCTGTAATTGTACTCCAGCCTGGGTGACAGAGCAAGACCCTGTCTAAAAAAAAAAAAAAAAATTATGAAATTTTTATTAGTATGAAGTTAGGTCTAAGAGTTTTATTTGCAAAGATTACCATGTGGAAGTAATGTCTAGACATTTTTGCCTTTGAGGCCTATTTTGTAAGATCCCCCAAAGGTGGAGAACTGGATCAGGAAAATAAGCAGAGCTTTCATACACACTGCCATTTTTGAGAGGACAACAAATTCAGAACTTGAAAGATTTTGATTTATTTCTTTCCTTAATTACACTTTGGAGTTTCACCCTCAGGACCAAGAAATGAATGTGAGTTCTTCCCTAGGAGTTTAGTCTAATGCTAGACATACATGGTAATAAGCAGTCAGTGCAACAAATTGGTGGTGTGAAGGTAAAGTGAAGAGACCCATAATTCATGGTTGTGTTTTCCACTGAGGGGCCAACATGGGTTTTATGCAGAATGGATGACATTTGAGATGTCATTTTGGGGTAATAGGAGACTGTTACCCGGGATGGGTAAAAAGAAATTACAAAGCAATGCTTACGCTCGGGTTGGAAACCTTGAATTTGTACTGGTGCTAATTATGGGTTTTTTCCTAGTAGTATTTACCGCCCCTATACAGGGGTGGAAAATGAAACGAATGTATTTACTCAAAATAGGTGAAGGAAAATGGGACTGAGCAAAGTAGTGCTTTATAATCAGCCCCAGTTTTCAGGATAAGACTGCTAGAGACTCATTACTTTTTACATTATAATGTGAAATTAATCATTAAAACCTTAAGTAAAAATGGAAGTTTTTGGCTAGGTGCAGTGGCTCATAAGCACTTTGGGAAGCTGAGGTGGGTGGATCACTTGAGGTCAGGAGTTCAAGATCAGCCTGGTTACCAAGAGGGTGAAACCCCATCTCTACTAAAAATACAAAAATTAGCCCAGTGTCTTGGCTCATGTGTGTAATCTCAGCTACTTGGGAGGGTGAGGTGGGAGGATCACTTGAACCTAGGAGACGGAGGTTTCAGTGAGCCAATATTACATCACTGCACTCCAGCCTGGGAGACAGCAAGACTTCATCTCAAAAAACAAAAAAACAAACGAAACATACATGGTACGTTTCAGCTCGTTGCACTTACTCTCTGTCCAAGCTCAAATTGTCCCTTTTTTAGCCTGTAGTGCCACTTCTGCTTGGCTCTTGGGCCATGTAACAATCCTGTTTATGCTTAGTTTCCTTGTTGTCCAATGTGACACAGTGTTCTTTGCTTATCTTGCATACTTCCTGCCCAGCCACTTTTCCAAGAAGAATGTGAACATTTAAAACAAAAACAAAATTTCAGGACCCCAGTCACACCTAAACCAGCTTAATCAGAATCCCTGGTGAGGATAGGGCCCGGATACAGACAGGGTCCCCAGAGTGGAGTGCAGAGGTGGGATCTCAGCTCACTGGAACCTCTGCCTCCTGAGTTTAAGTAATTCTCCTGCCTCAGCCTCCTGAATAGCTGGGACTACAGTTGTGAGCCACCACTCAGCTAATTTTTGTGTTTTTAGTAGAAACAGGGTTTTGCCATGTTTGGCCAGGCTGGTGTCCAACCCCTGACCTCAAGTGATCTGCCCACCTTGGCCTCCCAAAATGCTGGAATTACAAGCATGAACCACCACACTCTGCCAGGATACAGTATTTTTTAAAAAGCATGCCCAGCCTTGGATGGAAAACCACTTTAGGAGAGTATGCTGCCTTATCAGGCTCTGTAAACACCTTATCTCTGCACAAGGCTGGGACTTTGAGTGAAGTACTTGGCTGAAGCTCTCATTGCTACATGGTGGCATTTCTTTCTCTCCTGTTTAAAGCTTGTGTTTCAGAATTTTGACCTGAATGCATCTGTGTTGAAAGCCTTGCTTGGTCTGTCATCCCAGGTCTGTGTCAGTCCCTTTCCTTGGCTGTTTGTTGAGTTAGGGCTCATTGCATGCCTCTGGGAAATAAGTTAATTGATAGCTTGCTTAGAGTCTTAGTACTTTCCCTTGCCCTTATAATGAATACCAAAACATGTGGCCTGCAGAGTAGACTATGCACAGCCTTCAGTATAGACTGCTCAGGCCCCCTCTTGGTTCCTGGAGTCTGCCATGCTTCCTTCTACCACCAGGCCTTTGCACATGCTGCTGTCTGCTGGGAATGCCTTGCCTTTCCTCATTACATAGTTCTCCTCTACTCATCTTTCAGGTGCCAGCTTGACTGTCTTTCTCGGGTAACTTCTCTGACCTTGATATACCAGATCAGCCCCCATGTGCTGACTTTGTCTCATTGGTAATATTTCTCTACCTTCAGGACACATATCAAGACCCAGAAGTTGCAGTTTTGCATTTGTTGTGTGATCATTTGATGCATGTCTCTCTTGAGCCTGACTCTTTGGGGTTCACATCCTGTCTCCACCAGTGTTAGCTGTGGGACCTTGAACATTCATCTTTGGTCCCCAGTTTCTTTTAACTGCAAAACAGGGATGATATAATACTTTCACCTACCTTGGGAGGTGGGGACGAAGATTAAATAGGGTAATTTGTGTAAAGCACTTAGAACAGAGCTAGCTACTAACAGTAGAGAATCTTGGCAGGTATTACTGATGATTACTGCAGGGGACCACAAGCTCTATACAGTCAGGGGTCATTCTGTTTGTTTAGATTTGTATGCAGGGTGCTTGGCATATGGATGGTGCTCAGGAAATATTTGTTGGATGAATGAATGAACTGGAGATAATAGTAATACCATGTTTATAAAATTCCATTAGGATATAAAATAATGCAAGTATATAAGTTCTTGGTAGCATGTCTAGCTCATACTAGGTGGTCAATAAATATTCAATGCCTGAATGAGGAAAATGGGGACAATAGTAATACCAGCTTAGGAGGTTGTCGTGGGGATCTAAGGTAAACCTGTAGTACAATGTACAGTGCCTAGCACATAGTAGGTGCTCAGAAAATGTTTGTTGAGTAAATGAATTAAGTGGGGATGAAGGTAACACCAGCTCCTAGGGTTGCTGTGGGGATAGATAAGGCAGGTCGATAGCTTGTTGTATTGTGGTTGCGCCTGGTAGACACTCTGTTGAGTGAAAAGAGAGGAGCTGCTATGAGTTCCTTTCTCCTGGGGCTTAGGAGAGAATCCTTTTGGGGTACAGAATAGTATGGAGCCGTCACTGGTCCTCTTGAAGGAAGAACGGGCAGCTGACTACTCCTTGCCAAGCTCTGACCTGGATGAAAAGTTGAATCATTCCTTTCCCTCTTCCTCCCTAACCTGTTCTTTCTTTCCACTAGAATCTTTGCCCAGAGTCCAGCACCTCCTTCCTGTTCAGGATCACCTTCTGGTGGATCACAGGGTAAGGCTGGGCCCCTGAGACCTCAAGAAGGTGGTGGGGAATGAATGAATGAATGAACAAACATGCTGACTCCCCGCTTGACTTCTCTCTCCTTCGTTCTTCTGCAGAGTTGTCTTAAATCTGCCTGTGCTGACCATGTGGTCTTGGAGACACCAATATTGTCCTCCCAAGTCCATCACCTTGAATCTGATAAACCCATGAGCCATGAGCAACTTAAATATCTGCAGAAGGCTTGGCCTGGGACAGCCGTACACTGGACTGCTCTTGCTTTAGCTTCAGATTTGGGTTTTTATTTATTTGTTGCCTAAACATCATATTCAACCTGACAGATTTGGGTTTTTTAAATATTAGGTATAGTTACTATTGACATTGTTTCCCTCCCATCCTTCACTCCTTAGAAATATAACACTGACTCACCATAGGAAGCGTGGATTTTAAGAACACATGTGCAGATCAGTAGTAAGGAAACACCCAGAGGCAACAGCTGTCACCATTTTAGTATGCCTCCTTCTGGTCTTCTTTTCATTTTGAGATCAAGTCTTACTCTGTCTACCAGACAGGAGTGCAGTGGTGTGATACCAGCTCACTACAACCTCTGCCACCTGGGTTCAAGTGATTCTCCTGTTTCAGTCTCCCAGATACCTAGGATTACAGGCATGTGCTATCGTGCATGGCTAATTTTTGTATTTTTAGTAGAGACAGGGTTTTGCCATATTGGTCAGGCTGGTCTTGAACTCCTGACCTCACCCACATCAGCCTCCCAAAGTGCTGGGATTACAGGTGTGAGCCACCATGCCCAGCCACCTTGTGGTTTTTTTTTTTTGTCTGTGTGCATCTTTTCTGCCCATTGTCAACATCTTATTGGGGATTATTTGAAGAATCTTTCTTTCACCCTAATGTGCATCATCTTTTTGGTTTTTTTGGAGACAGGCTTTTGCTCTGTCACTGAGGCTGGAGTGCAGTGGCACAATTGTAGCTCACTGCAGTCTTGATCTACTGGGTTCAGGTAATGCTCCTGCCTCAGCCTCCTCAGTACCTGGGATTATAGGCATGCTCCACCATGCCCAACAGATTTTTCTCTTTTTTGCTGAGATGGGATTTTACCATGTTGCTCAGACTGGTCTCCAACTCCTCAGCTCAAGTGATTCTTCTGCCTCAGCCTCCAAGAGTCCTGGTATTATAGGAATGAGCCACCATGCCTGGTCTCATTCTTCTCTTTATGAACTTTTTACAAATATCTTTTTAAAAGATTAGATGTTTTAAATAATTTCTTCAAATTACTATTAAAGAGTGTCACTGGAACAGTTGATGTAATTTGTATATGAATGCAGGACACCAGATACGTGCTAATAACATTCATTCTTGTTTTGGAAAATTGTGCTCCAGTTACATAAGAGTATGGCCTGGATCGTAAGGGGATAACCTGTTTTTTAGGGGGGTAAAGATATGTAGAGCCTACATCTTACCTTTTTTTTGGGGGGGGGTGAGATAGAGTCTTGCTCTGTTATCCAGGCTGGAGTGCAGTGGCATGATCTGCAGCCTCTGCCTCCTGGCTTTAGGTGATTCTCCTGTCTCACCCTCCTGAGTAGCTGGGATTATAGGCATGCACCACGATGCCTGGCTAATTTTTGTAATTTTATTAGAGATCAGTTTTCACCATGTTGAAAACGCATGGTTTCACAAGGCTGGTCTCAAACTCCTGACCTCAGGTTATCCACCCACCTCAACCTTCCAAGGTGCTGGGATTGCATGTGTGAGCCACTGTGCTAGGCCTTTAACTGTCTGAATGGTTTAGAAAAAGATGGTGTGTGTGTGTGTGTGTGTGTGTGTGTGTGAATGGATAGAGATCGAATGTTACTGTAAACTTGGCAACATGTTAGTAGTGGTGAGTTGAGTGAATTCTTAGTATGATTTGAGTTATTTTTTCTATAACTTTGAAATTACTTTAAAACAAAAAATGAAAGTGTTTAACTTTTTATTATAAAAGTGTTCAGTTGGCCAAGTGCAGTGGCTCACACCTGTAATGTTAGCACTTTGGGAGGCTGAGGTGGATGGATTACCTGAGGTCAGGAATTTGAGACCAGCCTGGCCCATGTGGTGAAACCCTGTCTCCACTAAAAATACAAAAATTAACCAGGCATGTTGGTAGGTGCCTGTAATCCCAGCTACTTCGGAGGTTGAGGCAGAAGAATCCATTGAACCCAGGAGGCTGCTGTTACAGTGAGCCAAGATTTCACCACTGTACTCCAGCCTGGGTAGAGTCACATAGAAAGACTAATATAACAAAACTCAATAAGCTTATCACCTAGATTTCACGATTGCTAATTCTTTGTCATGTCAGCTTTTTCCCCCTCCTTCAACCTATTTTTTTGGGGGGTTCTGGCTCTCTTGCCCAGGCCATAGTGCAATGACACAATCATGGCTCCCTGCAGCCTCCACCTCTTGGCCTCGAGCAAGTCCTCCTACATTAGCCTCCTGAGTAGCTGGGACTACAGGTGTGAGCCATTATGACTGGGTAATTTTTTTATTTTTACTTTTTGTAGAGACAGTCACCCAGTGTTTCCCACACTGGTCTTGAACTCCCGAGATCATTAAGTTTTTCTATCTTGGACTATTGAAGTGCTAGGATTAGAGGCATGAGCTCCTGGTCCTGGCCCATATTAGCCTTTTTTAATGTAAAGTTTTAAAAATTTGGCAGGGCATGATGGCTCATGCCTATAATCTCAACACTTTGTGAGGCCAAGATGGGAGGATTACTTGAGCCCAGGAGCTCAAGATCAGCTTGGGCAACATAGAGAGACTCTGTTTCTACAAAAAATAAAAAATAATTAGCCAGTCAAAATGGCTCACACCTGAGTAGTCCCAGCTACTCAGGAGGCTGAGGTGGGAGGATCACTCTAGGCCAAGAGCTGGAGGCTGCAGGGAGCTGTGATCATGCCACTGCACTCCATCCTGGGTGACACAGCGAGACCCTGTCACCGAATGAATGAATGAATGAATGAATGAATGAGGCCTGTAATCTCAGCATTTTGGGAAGCTGAGGGGGCCAGATTCACTGAGCTCAGAAGTTTGAGACCAGCCTGGGCAACACGGTGAAATCCTGTCTTTACTAAAATACAAAAAATTAGCTAGGTGTGGTGACATGTGCCTGTAGTCCCAGACTTGCGAGGCTGAGGCAGGAGAATTGCTCAAACCTAGGAGGCAGAGGTTGCAGTGAGCCAAGAACATGCTACTGCACTTCAACCTGGGTGACATAGCGAGACTCTATCTCCAAAAACAAAAAAATAAAAAGTACATGATTGAATGATGAAAAAATGAATTAGAGCCATCTTGATTATTTTCCTCCTAAATCTTTTTTCCCTATATTTATTCTATGCACCCCCCCAAAAGAAAGCCATTTTTCCTTTACAACCCAGCAGAATGGACTGTAATAACCTTACAATATGTTCAAACGTCTATCCACATTCAGACATCCCCAGCTGTGTGGCTGCCTTTGTTCACAGTGGGCAGTTGTGCTGGAGGGGGGTGCAGCATCGGCATGCTTGTGGAATGAGTGAGCCCCATCCTCCTCCTCCTCATTGACTCTCATTGCCTAACTCCCTTGTGTCTTGGCCTCAGGTTGATCATCCGAGGCTACCACCAGCCCCTGGAGAGCAGTGGCCTCTGGTCCTTAAACAAGGAGGACATGTCAGAACAAGTCATGCCTGTTTTGGTAAAGAACTGGAAGAAGAAATGCACCAAGTCTAGGAAGTAAGTGTGTTTCCTTGTCCTTAGAATGCTCTGGTTCCCTCCTTTCCGTCCCTGTGGCCTGAATCCAGGCTGCAGCCCTGGCATTGCTGCTTGTTACTAGCTTTGTGGTTCTCGCTTCTCCTCCAGGCCTGTTTGTTTTTCTGTCAAATGGGGTAAAATCTCACAAGTCATTAAGGCAACTGAGTAGAAAAGAAGACAGAAGCTGGGCATGGTGCCTCACACCAGTAATTCCAGCACTTTCGGAGGCCAAGGCAGGTGGATCACAAGGTCAGGAGTTTGAGTCCAGCCTGGCCAACATAGTGAAATCCCATCTCTACTAAAATGCAAAAATTAGCTGGGTGTGGTAGTGAGTACCTGAAATTCTAGCTACTTAGGAGGCTGAAGCAGAAAAATCACTTGATCCCAGGAGGCAGAAGTTGCAGTGAGCCAAGATCACAACACTGCACTTCAGCCTGGGAGACAGAGTGAGACTCCATCGCAAGAAAAAAAAGAAGAGAGAAAAATGCTGCCCAAGCAGGCAGTTGATGCTATTTGCCATGGCATGTGACTGTCCCTCCTAGAGTTAGTCTGACTTTTTTTGTCAATTCTGAGCATCTGGCATCCCGCATGTTCCTGCTGTTTGAAGTGTTTCTTTCCAACACATTCCGCTGACCATGTATGTTTGTTTAGCCAAAGAAGCCCCATTTGCTGGTGATTTTGCCTGTACTGGATTTTAGATTCAACCCCCTATGTAAGGTGTGCCCCACTGTACCACCTCTGTCATTCTTTTGGGAATCCAGTCAGGGCCTCCACCTTAACTCTTCAAATCAGATACCATCAGTTGCACAATACATTATTATTGTGTGTAACAGTAAGAAAGCAAAGTAACTGCCAATTTAACAAGGACATAAGATGCATCCCGAGCCTGGACAAGCTGGAACGTGAAATTGCAAGTGACATGTGGGCAGTGGATTGTGACCAGGGGGGCAGTAGGGTGGCTGTTTTTGTTTCTGTTGCCTGTTCTGGGGTAAGCTTACTATGGTAAGCTGTGACAGAGCCAGCCTAGTGCACTGGATTCTCCACAGACCTGCTGGCCTTACAGAGAAATCCCCAGACCCAAGCTCAGTTCCTCATTCTATTCCAGGGATGCCCAGGATACAGGCCTTCAGTCATACCCAAATGGTAGGTGGAAATCTGGGACATCCATGGTGCCAGCCACTAGGACATCAGCAGAGGACCCTGGTGGGAGGCTGTTTGGGAGAAATTGTCTTGTGGGGGATAGATAGAGCTTGGGCCTCCATGGCTGAGCATTGTACAGAAATGGCCCATGTCCATGACCCAGTTGAAGGTCATTGACAGGCAGAGATTGGGTCCCTGTTTATTACATGGATACAGAACTAGTAGGATGGAAGGATGGACGGATTGATGGATGGATGGATGGATGGATAGATAAATGATAGATTGGTAGATAGGTAGATACTAGGTGGATAGTGGATGGATACATGATAGGTGGATAGATAGATGACAGATAGATGGATGATTGATGATGGATGAGTGGATGGACTGAGGGTGAGAGGGGATCTACTAGGGAAACTGGATCATGTGATTATAGAGAAGTCCTATGCTAGGCCATCTGCAAGCTAGAGAACCTGAGAAACTGGTAGCATGGCTCAGGCCAAGACCAAAGATCTCAGACCCAGGGAAGCTGATGGTGGAATTCTCAGTCCACAACCAAAGGCCTGAGAACCTGGAGTGACTGGGGTAAATCCCAGAGTCCAGAGGCTAGACAGCCTGGAGTTCTGATTTCCAGGGGCAGGAGATAATGACATCCTGACTGCAGAAGAGAGATCACATGAATTTACCATTTCTCTGACTTTTTCTTGTGTCTGGACCCTCTGCTGATTGAGTGGTGCCCAGTCACATAGGGTAAGGATGGATCTTCCTTATTGAGTCCACTAATTCAAATGTCAGTCTCATCTGGAAACACCCTCACAGGCACACACGCAGAAATAACACTTTACCAGCCATCTGGGTATTCCTTATCCCCCTCAAGTGGACCCCTAACATCACCTATCACCTGGATTCCTTCAGCCTTACCTGCAGTGTTCTCCCTGCTATTAAGGCCACATTTGTAGCATGGACTTCAGCATTCATCATCACCAGTGCCTCTGCTGATCACCTGGCTTGGCTTCCTTTCATGGAAGAAGGATGCCCACGGTTGTGTCCCCTGGTGCTTCCCTGGCAAGCAGGTTGTTGGAAACACCATGGGAGAGGCAGAGCCTTGGGAGGAAAATGGACTTTGAATCAAGAAGCTCCTCCACTGATGTGGCTTTTAACTCACTGAGCAGGTAAAATCGACTGCTGTTTTTATGCTTAGTGAGGTTTAGTTACTGGGGGTTCAGGAAGTGGAAAAAAACACATACACTCTTTTTCTTTTTCTTTTTAAACAAAGTGTTGCTCTGTCACCAGGTTGGAGTACAGTGGCATCATCTCAGCTCACTGCAACCTCCACTGCCTGGGTTCAAGCAATTCTCATGCCTCAGCCTCCCAAGTAGCTGGGATTACAGGCGTGCACCATCATGCCTGACTTATTTATTTATTATTTTATATATGTTTTTTTTTTTTTTTGAGACAGTTTGACTCTTGTCACCCAGGCTCGAGTACAGTGGTGCAATCTTGGCTCACTACAATCTCTGCCTCCTGAGTTCAAGCGATTCTTTTGCCTCAGCCTCCTGAGTAGCTGGGATTGTAGGCATGTACCACCACACCTGGCTGTTTTTGTATTTTGAGTAGAAACAGGGTTTCTCCCTGTTGGTCAGGCTGGTCTCAAACTCCCAATGTCAGCTGATCTGCCTGCCTTGGCTTCCCAAAGTACTGGTATTATAGGTGTGAGCCACTGTGCCTGGCCTTTTTAATTTTTTTTTTTTTTTTTCTCTATAGAGACAGGTCTCACTATGTTGCCCAGACTGGTCTCTAACTCTTGACTTCCAGAGATCCTCCAGCCTCAGCCTTCCTAGTAGCTGGGATTACAGTTGTGATCCACCAAACACGGCTGAGTTCTGGTTTATAACAACCCAGGCTGCCCTGGGGAAGGTGGATATTAGGGATGAGAGTGAAGGCAGGGAGACCTGAGTGGGGATCTCAAGGCCTGTCCATGAAGTTCCTCCATGCCTCACTGGGAGCCTCCATTTTCTTTATTTTGACACAAGGTCTGACTCTTTTGTCCAGGCTGTAGTGCAGTGGAACCATCTCAGCTCAGTGCAGCCTCCATTGGCTAGGCTGGAGTGATCCTCCCACTTCAGACTCACGAGTAGCTGTCTCTATGGGCACATGCCACCACACCTGGCTAATTTTTTTTTGTAGAGATGGTATCTTGCCATGTTGCCCAGGTTGCTCTTGAGCTCCTGAGCTCAGGCAGTCCACCTACCTTGGCCTCCCAAAGTGCTGAGATTACAGGCATAAGTCTCCATTTATTACCCAGAGCATTTTCTGAAAATTCAGTGAGATAAATGTCATAATAAGCTGTGCCCTAGTCCTGAGTAAGTGCTGGGCAGGTTTTAGTTGTACAAGTTGTATTTATTCATTGCTACATTTCTATCTTGCCAGGGAGGGTGTGGTGAGAACTGGCTCATTGGACTTGAAAGCAGGCCACCTGAAAGGGCTGGCTTTGTGAGTACCTTAGTGTTTAGGGATGCTCAGCTTGGGACCAGGGTGTCATTTGCTAGAGTCCTTGATAGATGGATCGCTTGCTTTATTCCCAGAGGCATAAGCCAGATCTGGCACCTGTAACCCCTGTAGAACTGGAGATAATGACAAGAACAACCTTGTCTTATGCTGGAATTTCCTGGTGTGGCTCTTGACACCCAGATCCCTTTAGTTAACCAGAGAAGAAAATGCAGCCTGTGTAGCTCTGGGTTGCTGGGTTTCCTAGGCTCAGAGACCAAGTGAGGGAGGCCTGGGCTTGGGGTCTGCATGGCTTCTTGGACCCCTTTACTACCTTTGTTCACCCCTGAGTGACTTGCTCTCAAAAGTCAGGTGTACCAGGGCACGGTGGCTCACGCCTGTAATCAAAGCACTTTGGAAGGTGGAGGTGGGAAAATCACCTGAGGTCATGAGTTCGAGACCAGCCTGGCCAACATGGTGAAACGCCATCTCTACTAAAAATACAAAAATTAGCTGGGTATGGTGGTACTTGCCTGTAATCCCAGCTATCTGGGAGGCTGAGGCATGAGAATTGCTTGAATTGCTTGAAGCCGTGATGGCACCACTGCACTCCAGCCTGGGGGACAGAGTGAGACTCCATCTCAAAAAACAAAAAAACAGGTGGGAGCAATCTCCCTGCTTCTACCTTTGGGTTTGAAAACCCAATGCTTCATTGGTTTGTGTGTAATAGTTTTATGTTTTCTTTTTTGTGTATGGCCTCTTAGAGCCTAGGGCTATTTTGAATTGTGGTTTCTGCTGGAGTGACTATAAAATGCTTTGTGACTCTGGAAGAGTTTGGCAGTTTTAGTTTTTTTTTTTAAGTTAGACATAGTTACCATACAGTCAGCCACTCCCTTCCCAGACATCCACCCAAGAGAGCTGAAAGCATATCTTTTTTTTGTTTTTGAGACGGAGTTTCGCTCTTGTTACCCAGGCTGGAGTGCAGTGGCGCGATCTTGGCTCACCACGACCTCTGCCTCCTGGGTTCAGGCAATTCTCCTGTCTCAGCCTCCTGAGTAGCTGGGATTACAGGCACGCGCCACCATGCCCAGCTAATTTTTTGTATTTTTAGTAGAGATGGGGTTTCACCATGTTGACCAGGATGGTCCTGATCTCTTGACCTTGTGATCCACCCGCCTCGGCCTCCCAAAGTGCTGGGATTACAGCGTAAGCCACTGCGCCTGGCCAGAAGCATATCTTTATAAAAGACTGGTGCAGGAATGTTCTTATCTACTTTGTTTGTGATAACCCAAACTGGAGGTAAGCCAGACATCTATTAGCAAGTGAACAGACAGATTTACCCATTATGTGCATCTGCACAACTGAATACTAAGTTATGTACAAGAACACACTATTGGCTGTTCACAGTGGCTCATTCCTGTAATCTCAGCACTTTGGGAGGCTGAGGTGAGTGGATCACCTGAAGTCAGATTAAGACTAGCCTGGCTAACATGGTGAAATCCCATCTCTACTAAAAATACAAAAATTAGCCAGGTATGGTGGTGTGTACTTAATTCCAGCTACTCGGGAGGCTGAGGCATGAGAATTGCTTGAACCCAGGAGGCCAAGGTTGCAGTGAGCCAAGATGGCACCACTGCATTCCAGCCTGTGTGACAGAGACTCCATCTGAAAAAAAAAATTTTTTTTTTTTAATTTTTTAAAAAAAAGGATGGTCATGTTGGCTCATGCCTGTAATCCTTGCACTTTGGGAGGCTGAGGCAAGTGGAGATCAAGACCAGCCTGGGCAACACAGTGAAATTCCGTCTTTACTAAAAATACAAAAATTAGCTGGGCAAGGCTACTTGCACCTGTAATCTCAGCTACTTGGGAGACTGAGGCAGGAGAATCAGTTGAGCCTGGGAGGCAAAGAGTTCAAGACCATCCTGACCGACATGGAGAAACTCAATCTCTACTAAAAATACAAAAAATTTTGAAGAGAAGACACAGAGTTCATCAGTGCACCCTGGTGAAGTTAAGGGACTAGGGTATAAGAAGAATGTGATTTACAGGCAGAATGCAGGGGCACTGGAGCTAGAAATGATCTTAGGGAACATGGAGTCACAGAAGAGCAATGAGATGCCATTTCTTCCTCAACTCCAGTTCACTGGCAGCAGTCAGCTGGAGGGCTGCTTGGACATAACTCAGTGGGAAAGAACGCCATGAGTGACTGGGTGTCTGCTGTGTTCATGAAAAGGAAGGGAAGGGCCCAGTATTTGACATGCTTGAGATCTAACCTTATCATTTTCCATATGACAAAATCTAGAGCCAGGGAGGTGAGCTAACCAGCTTCGGGGTCACACTGTGAGCTGGCAGGAGAATGTAGCAGGTGACCTGACTCTCAGAAGAACATTCCTCTAAGCTAGGGGCTGGCCAAAAATGGACTGAGGTCCACATATGGTTCATGAGCCTAGCATGGATTTCATTTTTTAATTTTTTGGAGAGAGTCTTGCTCTTTTGCCCAGGATGGAGTGCAGTGGTATGACCTTGGCTCAACACGACCTCCACCTCCCAGGTTAAAACGATTCCCATGCCTTAGCCTCCTAAGGAGCTGGGATGACTGTCATGCTCCACCGCACCCATCTAATTTTTTTGTGGGGCACAGAGTCTCACTCTTTTGCCCAGTCGGGAGTGCAGTGGCATGATCCTGGCTCACTGCAACTTCTGCCTTTTGGGTTCAAGTGATCCTCCGGCCTCAGCCTCCTGAGTAGCTGTGACCACAGGTATGCACCCTACACCCAGCTAATTTTTTTTTTTTTAAGTACAGACCAGGTTTCACCATGTTGGCCAGGCTGGTCTCAAACTCCTAGCCCGAAGCATTTCACCTGCCTCAGCCTCTCAAGGTGCTGAGATTACAGGCATGAGCCACAGCGCCCAGCCAGATTTTATATCTTTAATGGTGAAAAGTCAAAATAATATTACATGACAGGTGCTAATTCTGTAAAATTTAAATTTTATTCTTTCTAAATACATTTTTACAGGAACATAGTCACCACCCATCAATTTCTGTATTATCTAAGGCTGCTTTTCCACTACATGGGAAGAGACAGGTATTTGTGACAAAGACCAGATGTCCCAGAATGCTGAAAGTTTCTTACTCCAGAAAATGTTTCTTACTCCTGCTTTCTTCCAGTGTCTTTTAAACTTCAGTGTCCATACACACCACCTAGAGATCTCGTTACAATTCAAATTCTGTTTCAGTGGATCTGGGCTGAGGCCTAAAATTCTGCACTGTTAATAAGCACGAGGTGATGCCATGGCTGCTGGTCCATGGACCACACTTTGAATAGTGAGGATCAACTCTAGTGTGTGTCTACATGTCGACCTGAACCAGCAGCAGCAGTACCTGAGGATGTGTTAGGAATGAAGATACTCACACGTACCTAGACCTGCTAAACTGAAAATCTGAGTGGGGCCCAGAAAGCTGTGTTTAATAGTAACAAACTGTCAGCCAACACAGTGGCTCATGCCTGTAATCCCAGCACTTTGGGATGCCAAGGCAAGTGGATCACCTGAGGTCAGGAGTTCGAGACCAGCCTGGCCAATATGGTGAAACCATCTGTATCAAAATATTTTTTAAATTAGCTGGGTGTGGTGTTGCATGCCAGTAATCCCAGCTACTCAAAGGCTAAGGTGAAAGAATCGCTTGAACCCAGGTAGTGGAGGATGCAGTGAGCCAAGATCATGTCACAGCACTCCAGCCTGGGAAACAGAGTGATATCCATCTCAGTCAATCAATCAACCAACCAAATATATTAAGCTATCCAGGTGATTCTGATGCAGGCTTGAATTTGAACACCACCTCCTGCAGGTCCAGACTCAGAGATTTAAGGTAAGCCTAAGAAAATTCAGTGTCAGCATGAGCACGCTTTCACAAATGCTAAAAAGGCTAGAACTTCCTTAAATATTCCACCTGCAACTCAGCTAACATGAAGGAGGTGGTAGTTTAATAGATAAGTTTCATATTTATAAAAATGTTTAATGCTGGTTGACAGAAAAATTTGTCAACCTGACCAAGAAGGAATAGTTGTAATGAGCACAACATTGCAAAAAGAATGACACAGTTAATAATAAAAAGACAGAAAATACATGGGGCATCATCTAAAGTCATCCTTCACCATTAACTCTTTTTAACTGTGTTTAAAAGGGAATTTCCGTAATTTATATATATATGGTCTGCTGATATGTGGACAGCTTTGCAAAATGGTAAGTTGCACTTTTTTATTTTTTTGAGATGGAGTTTTGCTCTTGTTGCCCAGGCTGGAGTGCAATGCCATGATCTCAGCTCACTGCAACCTCCGCCTTCTGGGTTCTAGTGATTCTCCTGCCTCAGCCTCCTGACTAGCTGTGATTACAGACATGAGCTACCACACCTGGCTAATTTTGTGTTTTGAGAAGATACAAAGTTTCATCATTTTGGTCAGGCTTATCTCGAACTCCTGACCTCAGGTGATCCACCCCCGCCTCTGCCTCCCAGAGTGCTGAGATTACAGGTGTGAGCCACTGTGCCCAGCCTGCACTGTTGTCTTTAAACTTTTCAAAGTCAGCTAGGCAGGGATAGATCTGTTATCATATGCCAGGACAGGGCACCAGAACACTCAGTGTAGCATGGATCATGATAGTAAAAAACAGGTAACAACCTGTTTTTGCAATGAATGGGAGAAAAGATAATGCCAGGAGGGCAGATCCACATGCCAGACAAGCATGTATCATGAACACAAATGAAGCAAGCCAGGCATGGCAGTGGTGTACCTGCAGTCTTAGCTACTTGGGAAGCTAAAGCAGGAGGATTGCTTGAGCCCAGGAGTTTGAGGCTGTAGTGAGCTATGATCACACTACTGTACTTCAGCCTAGGGGATAGAGCGTGACCCCATTTGAAAACCAAAACTGAAAAAAAAAGGATGAGAATGAACCCAGATGATATACTATTAACTACACAAAGAGAATTATGATCCCATTTAATTCTGTCAAAATATGTATTAAAAACCTATATGCTTATGCATTTTCTTCTAAAAGCATGCACAAAAATCACTTTGGAGGAGAGGAACTGATGGAAGAGAAGACAATATACTTTTTATTTTATATCTTTATGATTTGATTTTTTTTTTCCCCTACAGTACATGACAAGTATTTGTTCAGCACCTGCTGTGCATTGTTTTATGTACTAAGGATACAGCAGCCCACCTGGAACTGACATTCTAGTGGGGAAAGAAAACAAAATAAGTGTACTTTAAAAAATTCTTCTAATTTTTTTTTTTTTTTTTGACAGGGTCTCACTCTGTCACCCAGGCCAGAGTGTAGTGGCTCAGTTTTGGCTAACTGTAATCTCTGTCTCCCAGGTTCAAAGGATTCTCATGTCTCAGCCTCCTAAGTAGCTAGGATTATAGGCATGCATCACCATGCCCAGCTAATTTTTTTTTTTTTAAACAAGTCAGGGTTTTGCCAGGTTGGCCAGACTGGTCTGGAGCCCCTGGCCTCAAGTGATCCACCTACCTCGGACTTCCAAAGTGCTGGGATTACCAGTGTGAGCCACCAGACCCAGCACAAAATAAGTAAATTTTAGAGTGTGTTTAGACCATGCCATATTTGTGGTCTAACCACACTTTGATATGTGGTCCACAGGACACTTACAGTCCACACTTTGTGACCAGTTGGTGATAACATGAGGAGGCAGCACCGTAATGTAGGTCAACTATGGCACCAAGTGTGCCATTCAGCTCAGCTACATTTTTTTTTCTTACAAGGCTTTTTTAATGCAGGAAGAAGAAGGTACTTTTTTTCATCCTGGCACAAATGCCTTAGCCTGCTATGTTGGCCAGGCTGGTCTTGAACCCTTGGCCTCAAGTGATCTGCCCACTTTGGCCTCAAAAGTGCTGGGATTACAGGTGTGAGCCACTGTGCCTGACTGCCACCTGCTCATTTATAAAGCCTTCTATGATTCATTTGCAGCTAAGATTGAGAATCCCTGGTGCAGAGTGCCTCTGCGAGTCCAGGAATGATCTGCAGCCCCTGCTTCCCTTCCAGGTGTGTCTATGCCTCCCTGTGGCTGTTTCTGTGAGAACCTGCATTTTGGAGTTCTGCTTTTATTTGAGTCACCTGAGCCTGTTTCCACAGTCACCCTGATCATGCTGCTGGCTGCATATTTATCCCTTTTGTATCTTCCATCCTGGGTCCTCTCCCATCTCTTCTGGAGTCAGTCCTTTCTTGCCTTACATTGTGCTGCTTTCTCTCCTGACACCAAAGAATGAGGCAGCCAGTGCAGAGTGGGGGCTGCAGTCATCATCATGATTGAGGTATTGTAAACCAGGAAAGAGATATGATCTGTTTCAACACAGCACAGTGTCCAAGCACCCTTGATAAATGTTGGCTGTCATTGTCATTGTTGATGTTCTGATGATTGTTGATGCTGGGTGGATTCTTCTGGGGCAGATACCCAGCTGCCCAGTCCCTCAGTGTCCTTATCAGGGTCCTTCCCTAAGTTTGCAGCTAAGGCATCTGCCAGGGCTGGGGTCTCATCTGAAGACTCAACTGGGGAAGGGCTCACTTCAAAGCCCACCTTGTTGGCAGAACTAGGTTCCCCAGTTGTTCAAATGTTGAAATATACTTTCTTATTACTGTGGAAATAGCCTGTGCCCCACATACCTTTTACAATGAACTCTTGGGAGCTCTCTGTGATATGGACACTAAAGGGTTAATTTCTGGCACTACAGGGGTCCCTGGGCCTCTGCCTGTTGGACAATGCCCTTGTCCAACTGGTTATCTATTTTGACTATCACCTCTTCGAGCAGTACTTGGGAACCAGGGGGCTATGCCTGCAGCTCCTTGCATCCTGATCCTGGGAAAGTGAGCTTAACACAGCAGAGATACTATTATCTGGGCTGGGTTTTACCCATCGCTGCTGGTACAGGATGCTTGGGCCCAGGGCCCTCAGTGAATGGAGCTCTCTGCATAGCTGCAAAGCACCTTTCCTGCCCCAAGGGACTGAACTCTGATACCACCTGGCCCTCAACCAGTCAGCCTGTTTATGGCCTCTGCAGAGTAGCTCTACTTTCTGAGCACCCTGGCTGTCCATTGCTCTACCGTCTCCTCCCTGAAGTGGACAGTTTTTCTTGCCCTTGCTTTAAGCATCTGGCTCATATAACTCCCCTCCCCTCCTTTGTCTCTTTTTTGCCAGGGGTCATGGGCATCAGCAGTCCAGGAAAGGAAGCAAAGCAAATGGAGAATGGCATGCTGGTGACAGACAGTATGGGGAAACAACTACAGAGGTAAGTGGCGGGAGGTGGTGTGACTCATACAGACCTCATGATTTCACCATCTGCCCATACTTCTGAAACTCGAGTTCCCTACATGGTGTGGGTCTTTGCTCACATCACTCGGGGGGGTGCGCTGGAAGGTTCAGTCTTTGTGAAGCAGCATTCAATATAAAACTATCTCAAGGATAGGAATGGAGGCTCATGCTTGTAATCTCAGCACTTTGGGAGGTCATGGCAGGAGGATCCTTGAGGCCAGGAGTTTGAGACCACCATGGGCAATATAGCAAGACCCCATCTCTACAAAAAAGGAAGTATCCTCATGTTTGATTATAGAGGACGTTTTTAGATTCCTGGGGATTTATAGCATATGCAGTATGTTAACCATGCTAGCTTTTAAAAATAGGCTAAGTCGGCTGGGCATGGTGGCTCACACCTGTAATCCCAGCACTTTCGGAGGCTGAGGTGGGTGGATCACCTGAGGACAGGAATTCAAAACCAGTCTGGCCAACATGGTGAAACCCTGTCTCTACTAAAGATAGAAAAATTAGCCAGGCATGGTGGCAGGCACCTGTAAATTCTAGCTACTCAGAAGGCTGAGGCACAAGAATCATTTGAACTTAGGAGGCAGAGGTTGCAAAGAGCTGAGATTGCACCATGGCACTCCAGCCTGGACAACAGAGTGAGACTCTGTCTCAAAAAAGCAAAAACAAAGAAACAGCAAAAGAACAACAAACATTGACAAAGTCAGAACCTAAGCATACTGGACCTTGTGGATTTGAGAAAGGATGGTGGACCTGCAGTTGCTATAGGGGTCAGAAGAGGGCAAAGATGATGTGGCCTATCACTGTGCCTTGGTACATGTCGCTTTTGCCATTGTTATCATCTTACACAGCCTGCATTCTAGTGGGAGATTCCAGGCAGTGCATGAGCACAGAAGGATATAAGATTTTCATCCAAGATGCTAGCTTGGATTTGTGAAGCCCTAGGTCATGAAGCAGGAAGGCCCAGCTTCCCACCTGAATTGTAGATTTCATCCAGAGTTGGTTCTGATTCTTCCCTCTGCTGCTCCCTGAAAACCCACACTCGCTTTTGGATTTGAGGGCCACTTCCACCTCACTTGGCCTTAACCAAAGACCTTTGCACAGATCTCATGGGCAAGGAAATGTTACCCACCCCAAGCCCTAGATCAAAGAGGGGAGGTGCTAGAGGTTTATTTGGCCTTCAGGAAGTATTTTCAGGGGACACAGTTTTGTGGGTGCAGTGATGAATACATGGGGCTCTTGACCTCAGGTAGCTTGTAATCTTGTTCAGGAGATAAGTAGGTAAAGGAAGGCACAGAAAGTTCCATGGCAAAGAGCCACATCTGTGTTTCGCATGGCCTCCACAATTTCTTTTTTCTTTTCTTCTTTTTTTTGAGATGGAGTCTCCCTTTTGCACAGGCTGGAGTTCAGTATGCAGTGGCACCAACTGAGCCACTGAACACAAAACTGTGGGCATCACAGTCTGATGTTCTCTGGTGTCTGCATAAAGATGATGACCACTAATGTACAGAAAGTCCTTTTTTTTTTCATTTGAGACAGGGTCTCACTCTGTCACTGAGGCTAAAGTGTAGTGACACAATTATGGCTCACTGCAACTTCTGCCTCCTGGATTCAAGCTATTCTTCTGCCTCAACCTCCCTAGTAATTGGGACTACAGGTGCCTGCCTCCACGCCTGCCTAATTTTTGTATTTTTATTAGAGACAGTTTCACCTGTTGGCCGGGCTATTCTTGAACTCCTGGTCACCAATGATCTGCCTGCCTTGGCCTCCCAAAGTGCTAGTTTTACAGATGTGAGCCACTGCACCCAGCCAAAAAGTGCTTTCTGAGTAACATGCTTGCATGAAAGAGAAGCCAGGGCAAGATCCTACCCCAACCTCCACCACCTTTGTAAAACAAGAAAATTGAATGAACTACATACTTTGCCCTATTTTTTCATCATGTTACATATTTTGAAACTTTTTCATGTTTCAAAGATGATCTAAGATGTGCCCTTTCTGTTTTATCTTTTATTTGAGATCAATTAGAATTGATTGATTCTAATTGATCTCAAATTAAAAAAAAAAGCACGCACTTTTTGCGTATCAGTGGTCATGGGCTTTTTGCAGACCCCCAGAGATCATCACAGATTGTGTTTTCCACAGGTCTCATTTCTGCCTGAGACATTCCCTTTCTCTGGGGACCTATAACCCTGGGGAATGACATGGCAGTGGGGGTGCACATGTGCACATGTTCATATATATGTTTACATGTGTGCCTGTGCAGTTGACATCCTTGTGCTTTACTTCTCCAGATAGCTCAGCAGCTCCTTCTCCTATTGCAGGGACATCAGCAGGCACCACAATAGCACAGCAGAACTGCAGAAAGTCGAAGCCAAGAAGGGGGAGACTTGAAAGTTGATGGAGGCTGGCAAGGCACCAACAGGGCAGGTGAGATTTGCTCCTTCATTGATGATGGTGGCTACAGCTTACAGAGTGCCCACTGTGCAAAGTGCCTTGTCTATAATACACCTGTAAAGGTACTATTTACTGCACCAGAAACTGAGGCCAGAGAGGTTTAGAGACTTACCCAAGGTCACTGCTGGTAAACAGCAGAACTGATATTAGAACCCTAGCAGACTCTAGGGTTGGTGCTTGTAGTCTCTGCTCTATTGACTGCCACATTGACTTGAGCACTATATCTCATTAGCTATAGGCAACCTGAATGCTTTAAATTAGAGCTTTCTGCAACGTGGGGTTCAGTTGTGCCTGAAATGGTTTCAGGTTATGTGTGAACACATTCAATGGCAGACGAGTGTTTATTTCTTTTTTGAGACAGAGTCTGTCACCCAGTCTCGAGTGCAGTGGTGCTATCTTGGTTAATTACAACCTCCACCTCCCAGGTTCAAGCAATTTTCCTGCCTCAGCCTCCCATGTAGCTTGGATTACAGACATTTGCTACCACACCCAGCTAATTTTTGTCTTTTTAGTAGAGACAGGATTTCACTATGTTGGCCAGGCTGGTCTGGAACTCCTGGGCTCATCTTCCTTCCTTGGCCTCCCAAAATGCTGGGATTACAGGTGTGAGCCATTGTACCTGGAGTGTTTTTCATTTCTCATTTAGTCCTTTTGATTATGTTCCTGAGAAAGTCTCAGTTGGGTCCTAGCCTGCTTTTGGTACCTAACAGCCACTAGCCTCTCTTTGTAACAACGAGAGTGGGTTTTGAGCTCCTAGTTTTATTTATTTTTTGTTTTAAAGATTGTCTATTTTTTGGCAAGTGTTAATAATTCTCTATTTATGTTAGTGATCCAAAGTTTATTTTTAAAAATAAATGTGATTACATTTTTTAAAAACTAGGGAATGCAATTTTTAATGTAGGTAAAAAAATAAGCATACAGATAAAGGAAAAAAAAAACCATGAAAGTGGTAGCAAGAAAGTGAGGCTGGGACACTTTCTTTTAGATCTGCTCTGTTGTCATAATTAAGAGAACTAGAGGAGCAAGATCAAGCAAATTTAAAAGCTAGCAGAAGACAAGAAATAACTAAGTTCAGAGCAGAACTGAAGGAGATAGAGACACAAAAAAACCCGTCAAAAAAATCAATGAACCCAGGAGGTGGTTTTTTGAAAAGAACAAAACAGATCACTAGCCAGACTAATAAAGGGAGAAGAATAGATGCAATAAAACATGATAAAGGGGATATCACCACTGATCCCACAGAAATACAAACTACCATCAGAGATTACTAAAAACACCTCTTGGAAATAAAACAGTAAATCTAGACAATATGGATAAATTCCTGGACACATACACCCCTCAAGACTAAGCCAGGAAGAAGTTAAATCCCTCAAGAGATCAATAACAAGGTCTGAAATTGAGGCAGCAATTAATAGCCTACCAAACAAAAGTCTAGGACCAGATGAGTTCACAGCCGAATTTTACCATAGGTAAAAAGAGGAGCTAGTACCATTCCTTCTGAAACTATTCAAAACAATACAAAAAGAGGGAATCCTACCTAACTCATTTTATGAGACCAACATCATCCTGATACCAAAACCTGACAGATACAACTAAAAAAGAAAATTTCAGGCCTATATCCATAATGAATGTTAATGGGAAAATCCTCAATAAAATACTGGCAAACCAAATCCAACAGCACATCAAGAAGCTCCATCATGATCAAGTCAGCTTCATCCCTGAAATGCAAGGCTGGTTCAACATATGCAAATCTTTAAACATAATTCAGCACATAAACAGGACCAAGACAAAAACCATGATTACCTAAATAGATGCAGATAATGCCTTTGACAAAATTCAGCCCTTTTTGCTAAAAACTCCCAGGAAACTAGGTATTGATGGAAGGTATCTCAAAATAAGCTATTTATGATAAACCCACAGACAATAACATAGTGTATGGGCAAAAACTGGAAACATTCCATTTGAAAACCGGCACAAGACAAGGATGCCCTCCCTCACCACTCCTACTCAACTTAGTATTTGGAAGTTCTGGTCAGGGAAATCAGGCAAGAAAAAGAAATAAAGGGTATTCAACTAGGAAAAGAGAAAGTCAAATTGTCTCTATTTGCAGATGACATGATTGTATATTTAGAAAACCCCATCATCTCAGCCCAAAATCTCCTTAAGCTGATAAGCAAATTCAGCAAAGTCTCAGGATACAAAATCAATGTGCAAAAATCACAAGCATTTCTGTATACCAGTAACATCCAGCCAGCAAAATCATGAGTGAACTCCCATTCACAACTGCTATAAGGAGAGTAAAATATCTAGGAATACATGTAAAAAGGAATGAAAAGGACCTCTTGAAGGAGACTTACAAACCATTGCTGAAAGAAGAAAGGAAACAAACGGAAAAATATTCCATGCTCATGGTTAGGAAGAATCAATATTGTGAAAATGGCCATACTGCCCAAAATAATTTATGCATTCAGTACTACCCCATCAAGCTACCATTGACTTTCTTGACAAAATTGGGGGGGAAAACTACCTTAAACTTCATATATAACCAAAAGAGAGCCTGCATAGCCAAGACAATTCTAAGCAAGATTATAAATGACAACAACAAAAAAAGCTACAGGCATTATGCTACCTGACCTCAAACTATACTACAAGGCTACAGTAATCAAAACAGCATGGTTCTGATATCAAAACAGAGATATAGACCAATGGAGTAGAAGACAGGCCTCAGAAGTAATACCACACATCTACAGCCATCTGATATTTGACAAACCTAACAAAAGCAATGGGGAGAGGATTCCCTATTTAATAAATGATGTTGGGAAAACTGGCTAGCCATCTGAAGAAAGCTTAAACTGCATCCCTTCCTTTCACCTTATACACAAATTAACTCCAGATGGATTAAAGATTTAAACCTATAACCTAACACTATAAAAACACTAGAAGAAAATCTAGGCAATACCATTCAGGACATAGGCATAGGCAAGAACTTCATGACTAAAACACCAAAAGCAATGGCAACAAAAGCCAAAATAGACAAGTGGGATCTAATTAAACTTAATAGCTTCTGTACAACAAAAGAATCAAACATTAGAGTGAACTGACAACCAACATGGAGAAACCTTGTCTCTACTACAAATACAGAATTACATGGGCATGGTGGTGCATGCTTGCAATCCCAAATACTCAGGGGACTGAGGCTGGAGAATCATTTGAACCTGGGAGGTGAAGGTTGTGGTGAGCCAAGATTGTGCTATTGCACTCCAGTCTGGCAACAGGAGCAAAACTTTGTCTCAAAAAACAACCGCAACAACAACAAATGACAACAATAACAAAAACTTGCCAATGGAATAAAAAAAAAGGAAGAGTATTGGGCTTTAAAATGAGTTCAAATCTACCATGTCTTATGTCAAAAAAAAGCATCCTAATCTCTTTGAGTCTCAAGTTCTCTATCTAGAAAATCATTTGACCAGAACGTTCAACACAGATTGAAGTACTAGAAGATATTTTAATTAGTCCTAAGATTCCTTAAATTTCTGTAATTCTATGTGCTTTTTGTTCTGTCTATGGAAAATTGGGAATACATAGCCAGCAGAATTTGAAAACATAACAAAAGAAACGCCAAGGAAGCAAAGTCATGGAAAAAGAAAAAATAAAAAAGCATTATGGAAGTAGGCAAAAATACTAGCCTACAGGGCAACCAAAACTGGGAAGTCAAATAATTTCTCTCTAAGACTTGCCGAATCTTGGTTTTGTAAAATTTCCAGGCCTATGGCCAAACCTTTACTCTGCCCTAAAGGCTTTGATGGTTAATTAAAAAAGATGCTGGTTATCACAAAAATTGTCAAATTTATTAGGAGAAATTCAATGACTAACCTCATTTCTAACAGTGACCTAAAATGAGAGTTTAACTTATTTAAACTCATTAATTTAGATATTAATTAAAAATAATCTGACTAGTCTTATTCAGACTAATACATTAATCAGAGTGCTGCACTGATAGCTCTATCAATCTGTACTGAAAAGTAAGGGAAAAGATTTCAAAGCCAGATAGGCTGACGGTCAAACTGTGTGGGTCAGTTACTTTGTAAACTATGGGACCATGATCCAATTAATCAACCTCTCTAAACAACAGTTGCCTATTTAATAAACAGGTTATAAAAAAACCGATGTTGTGATGGCTTTATGAGATAAATGCATAGCACATAATAGGGTTGTTAGCCCAGAATACAACACTTGACAGATACTAGTTTCTTCCGTCTATATTTTCTTAGTTAACTTAATTTTTTAAATCTGTAAAATCCATCCCAGCACTTTGGGAGGTGGAGGCGGGTGGATCACGAGGATAAGAGATCGAGACTATCTTGGTCAACATGGTGAAACCCCGTCTCTACTAAAAGTACAAAAAATTAGCTGGGCACGGTGGCGCATGCCTATAATCTCAGCTACTCAGGAGGCTGAGGCAGGAGAATTGCCTGAACCCAGGAGGTGGAGGTTGTGGTGAGCCAAGATAGCACCATTGCACTCCAACCTGGGTAACAAGAGCAAAACTCCGTCTCAAAAAAAAAAAAAAAAAAAAAATCTGTAAAATCCTGACTGCAGATTCATCAGAACTCCAAGAATCTATTAAAGGAAAAGGTAAAATACATTTTACATCAACAATGTATAGAATATTTAAACCATAAGAAAGTACAGTAATGCATGCCTGTAATTTCAACTACTTATGAGGCTGTGGAAGGAGGATCACTTGAGAAACCAAGAAGTTTGAGGCTTTAGGAAACATTGCAAGACTCTACCTTCATAAAAAACATTAAAAGGATGCACAGTTGTGTACATGATTTAGATCATTTTTCTTTATAGGACTGATGCTTTGTTACAAAGCATTCTTTTGAGAGCATACCTGGGACCTTATTAGAATTAATATAAATTATACCTATTGATTTGTAATTAATACAGTAAGAACTCTTATTTCCCTT